AAATCATAATGAAATTTTGGATTTATGTACTAAAAATAGGGCCCACAATTAAAAACTGTATAAAAAATATTTTTCAAAATATAAAATAACCGAAATACCCTGAAAAATGACAGGGGTAATTTGGTTATTTTAAATTATTGAAAATAATTTTTTTTATATTTTTTATGGTATGTAATAGTGTTAGGTACATACACCGAAAATTTCATCTTAATCAGATTTATAAAAAAAAATATTCAAATTTATATAGTGATATGCATTTTGAACCATATGATAAAGATTTAACAATTGAGATTAATATCTAACAATTGAGATTGATCGACTATTATAAAATTTACTCAATTTTAAATTATAATAATATAAGATTTTCATTGATATTTATAAATGCCTCACAATTTTTTAAACATAAAACAAGATCTGCATATTCATACTTGTACGGAGCACGTAATAACTCGCATCCCTTGCTTGCTATGCATAAATGCAATGGAGAGGCGTGGCATTTAGGCGGTAGGTGGAGGATTGGCACGTTTAGTTGGTGTGTGCCTTTAATGAGCCATCGCGAGGGCAAAACTGATTGGTTACCGGAAAAGTTAAAAGATATTCAACTTCCGCGGTAGTAAATGTTCATTATTATGTAAGATTGAACTTTGAACCTCAAATTTTAGAGATATAATCTCTTTGACCCATAGATTAACCTCAATAAAAATATTTCTTACTTGTAGCCTCTATTCACTTGAAAATATAATGTCTCGAGATTGAATAGAGACTATTTAAGTTTTATACGGTGAAATCTAATTGTTAAAAAATTTAAATTTCAAATTTTTTTTCTTCTAAGAATAGTCTTCTAATAATTCTTAAGCAGTTTCCAAAATTTCACATTAAAAAAACGTTTCTAAGTAAGTATTACGACTGAGGGAGTAGAAATAAGGTATTGCTACCGAGGGTGCATGGTATATACATGCCGTAAAAGTTGATGATAAAACACAAAAAAAAAAAATATATGGTTGAGGTTTCTACAATTGCAAGGGTTAATGAAAACAAAATCAAACCTCACCTCAAATCCTTGTCCCCAAAGCACTTTGGGCTTCCATGATGGCTCGAAAATTATTTTCGAACAATGAGATTTTAAACTGAAAAAAGGATACATATTTAGGATCTATAAGAACTTAAGTTTAGGGCAAAATAAATAGTCTAGATAATTTGTTATAATATACATGATTTTTAAAATTTGAAAAACAATTTTTACAACCACAATATTCAAGACAAGATAACCAATGTAAGGGTTCCTTTAATGCTTGAATTGCAATTTTCATTCAAGTGTGAGTTGGGGCTTTACTTATTTCGATAGGGTTGTTGGATTATCAAACCATTTTCGAATTTTATACTTCTTCTTGGGCTTGGTTGCGTCCACGTAGTAGAGTTTGTGCCCCCACGTAGTAAAGTTTGTGCCCTTGCTTGTAAAGGGGCCTCAACAAACTCAATTTAGGAAAATTGTTTCATGCGAGCTTGACTGCATTTCTACAATATGAAGACCAGAGTTATAAAACATCCATCGTTAGAAGCAAATAGTTGATCCATCTAAACATAAGTGTAATTAACGTTCAAATGATTCTTTAATATAATTATTATTTTTAATTTTCAATTTTTTTTATCATATTCATCTATGTTAAAGATTATATATTAATTAAAAATTAAAATCAAAATATATTTAAAATATATATTTATTAGGAAGCTTGCATTTCTACGATAGACGGGCCGGACGCATAGAAACCGTGTCCTTCTATTTAAGGTTTGGTTACTCATCAACTCCTCGTGTAGGAATCTCCTCTAACGCCATCTCTCTCTCTCACACGCCATGTGAAGAACCTCGACATGAACTCTTTCTCCCTCTGTGAAGAACTTCGACACGAACTCTTTCTCTCTAGGTGAAGAACTTCATTAAGCTCTCTCTCTCTCAAAGAAGGAAGTTTATTGTCTTTTGTCCCTGTACCCTATCATATTTTTGTACATTAAGAGTCTCAACAGGCTTTATTTTCTCTCTCTTGAAGCGAAGATGCTTTGTTAATTTCTATTTCCTCTCTCTAGAGCTCTCTCTCTCTAACATGGAGCCCTCCAATCCCAGCACACCACTCACCAGTTTCTTCTCCACCAAAACCTCTTCTTCTTCCTGTTCTAATGGCGTTTCCATCTTCCCCTCGTCAAATGAGACAATCAACGGCCACTATCACTCCTCGAGCCTTATGGGAGGTCTCCCTCCTTCCCCAAACCATCTCTCTCCTCGCCAAATGGAATCTCTCACCGCTCTCTGCGACACCCTCATCCCTTCCATCGACGTCGATTTTCATGGCCAACAACCGCGAAACGCCGGAGACGACGCGATTCGCTCCTTTGCCACCTCTGCTTTCATGAGCGATTTTCATGGCCAACAACAGCAAAACGCCGGAGACGACGCGATCCGCTCCTTCTTTGCCACCTCTGCTTCCATGAGCGGGACTCCTGACCATGTAAGATATCGATGGGCTTGGACTTAGCGATTAGCAGTTGGACTTAGCGGTTAGCAGTTGAAGTCAAACAACGCTATATCTCAAGTTCCATTCCTAACCCGCTATATCTCAAGTTCGATTCCTAACCGGCTAAAAAAAAAGAAAAAAATACCACCTTAGAAGTACATATTTATTTACTAACTATGCTATTATTTGGGTTTCAAATAATATGCTAGCATCTCCTCAACTGTAAGTCCATTGGCATGAGGCGGTTGATGAGGTGCAGGCAGCTGATATGAAACCAAAATGATGCATTTCATGAAGTTCGAGTCAGGGCCGCCACTCATAAACCTTCTGATTCATCATCGAATGTTTGAGGAGTTGCTAGCGCACAGTTTCTAAAACCCAAGTTATACCATAATATGTTCTTATTTATTTGATAGTGAATGCTTATCTTCTGAGTGAGATTTGCTGCTTACTTTTTATGACAAAGTCTACAAGAATGCGTGACATCCGTAATACACAGTTTGTGTGTGGTCTATGCGGTGGAGACCTGTGTAGAAAAAATCGAATCAGAATGGTTAACCTTACATGGGCCCGAAGTGGATCAACCGATCTAATCGGTAAATTGGCCTGTTCAATTGTTCTAAACGGACAAGTCCCGGGCTATCAAAGAAGTGCTTAAAAAAATAAAAAATTACTAAAAAATCTAATTAAATATGAAAAGTATATTTAAAAAATAATTAAATAAAATAAATTAAGTTGAAAATTAATAAAAAAATGAATGTTATATTATTGATTTGTGTCTAGGAGATTTTTAAAAAATTTCAAAAAAGTTGAAAAATATAAAAATAAATATTAACGACCAAAGCAATTTTCAATCTTTACCATAATGATGAAAAGTATTAAAAAATACATTAAAAATAAAATCCATTATTTTTTAAGATTTTATATAAATTATTTTGTTGTATTTTTAAAATACACAGCCGGCTACCAAAAGTGTCTAAAACCAGAACGGGCCAGTGCCTGGTTCCGATCTAAAGCGTCTAAAACCAGAAAGGGCCAGTGGCTTGTTCCGATCTAATCTGGGGGTTGCTGGTTAGACGTCCCAATTTTTCCTTCAACAGTGGAGACTTTATGTAGCACAAACATAGCGTATTACATGAACATATCATAGAGTCCATTCCATTACTAATGTATACTCTCGATATTGCATTAATGAGTTCCCAGACTGACATCGTCGTGGACACTGTGAGGCTGGGAAATGACAGGTTTAACCAGGTTCCATATAAATTATTTTTCGATTTTATCACTATCTCTATTATTAATGTCAGTAGTTAACGCGTCCTGTGCAAAGAATAACAATGAGAATCACTGTTCAACAACTCGGCCAATTCCACGGACTCGGCATCTTGGATGTTATTGACCGTGAAAAAATCTTGTTGAGTACAACGCCCACAGCCCAAATCCGATATGATGATCATGATTTTATTTTGTATTTGAATTTTTTTTTTTTATAAATTTAAATTATTTGAAATTTGGGGTGTCTGTTCTTCAAAGCTAATAGAATCTAATAAAAATAAAAATATAAATAATTTACAAAAATATAAATTGTTCAAACTACCCTTAAAATGTTTCGAGGGTATTTTGATCAATTTATATTTTATGAATTATTTTTTTTATATTTTTATTAAATGCGAATTGATGAGAAAAATGAACGTTCCAAATTTCAAGTGATTTGGATTTGTATAAATAAAATTAAAATTAAAATATGAAATGAGGTCGTGATCGTCAGATCGGTTCAGATTCAATCGGGACCATAGGTGTTTACTGTAGCAGTCAGTCCGTAGGCATATGGAATCCACTCCC